CCCAGTCCCTGCCGAGATGCTGCAGCTCCCACCGGTGACACCCACATCCTTTGGGACCCCCGGGCCAGCCCTCTGCGCCCCGAGAGGCTCCGGGCTGTGGGCGCGGTGGCCACGGGGTGGCACTGCGGGACTGTCCCCGAGCTGTCCCCAGGCCTGACACGCGGCCGTTCCCCTGGCAGCCGCCAGCCCCACGCTGCACCCGGTGCAGAGCCCCCAGACCCGCTTCTGTGTCCTGACGGTGGCCCCCGACACGCTGCCCGCCATCGCCACCATGCTCATCGATGTCCTCTTCTACTCCCACAGGTGAGTCCATGGGGGTGGCCCCTTGCCTGGTGCCACCTGACCTGCGGTGACATTGGTCCCAGCCGTTGGTCCCAGCCGTTGGTCCCAGTGGGTTTTCAGGCTCCGGATGGGTTTTCCAAACCGGTTTTGCCTTCCCGGGAGCTGCACTGTGAGGGGTGGGAACCCCGAGGTGACACAAGGGACAAAGCCAGCACTGTACCGAGTCCCGGGGGGGAGACTGTAAAGCAGGAGGGGATGGGTTTGGAAAAGGCAGTGGGGATGGTGCTGGGGGAAGGGAATGCTCCTGGTTGGGTCCTCCCGTGTCCCCTGGGATGGGGTCCCTTCTGGTGACATGCTCCTGCTCCAGAGTGACCGTGGCCTTTTGAGAATGCCCCAAAACCTGGTGTCACCTGTGAGCTGCAGACCCTGTGGGGACCACCTGCTCCTGTCCCCTCCCCTCCCACCCTGCAGCACCCCAGCATGATGCTCAGACACCCAGTGCCACCACCGAGCCCTTCTCCTCCCCATTTTGGGGTTGTGACCCCTGCCTGTGTCCCCTCCCCCTCAGCAGCCCCCCGTGGGATGCAGCCACCAGCAGCCAGGACCTCGACTCCATCACCTTCTTCTCCTTCTCCCTCATCGAGGGCTACATCTCCATTGTGATGGATGCCGAGACCCAGAAGCGGTAAGTGCCATCCCGGGGCTGTCTGTCCCTCTGTCCCTGGGTCTGGGGGCTCAGGGAGGGGGTGACACTTGGTTTCATCCCCCTCAGCTTCCCCAGTGACCTCCTGCTGACCAGCTCAACAGGGGAGCTGTGGCGGATGGTGCGGATTGGGGGACAGCCCCTTGGCTTTGGTGAGTGTGGCCGTGGTGGCCGTGTCCCCTCTTGTGCCACTGCCACCCAGGGGGTGCTCTAGGGCACTGCTGTCCCCGGATGTCCCCATGGCAGTGACCTGAGACCCCCTGTGCCCCCAGACGAGTGTGGCATCGTGGCGCAGATCGCAGAGCCGCTGGCGGCCGCCGACATCTCGGCCTATTACATCAGCACCTTCAACTTTGATCACGCCTTGGTGAGCCCCTGCCCCTCCCCAGGGACCCCTGCCAGCCCCGGGGTGTCCCCTGAGGCTGACACCCCCTCTGTCCCCCGCAGGTCCCCGAGGAGGGCATTGCCGAGGTCATCCAGCTGCTGCAGCAGCGGCAGGAGAGTGGCAGATAGCGGCCGGCTGTCCCCACACTGACTGTCCCGGCGTGGTGTCTCCTCCTGCCCACCCCTGTTCATTCAGTTTTCATTTGAATGATCCCCCAGCACAGGACAGAGCACAGCATCGCTCCCTCTGTGCTGGGGATGGGGTGGCTTTAGGGACATGGCCTTGTGGCAGTGGGCACTGGCCCACAGGAGCGGGGTCAGTCCCCGTGTGCCATCCTGTCCCTCTTGCCTGGCCTGTGCAGGGTGGGTGGCAGGGTGGGTGTGTCCAGGTGGAGGGGACACAGGGTGGGGGGACAAAGAGCAGTGATGTGCCACCATGGTGCTATAGGGGACAGCCTGGGGCTGATGGGATGTGTCCCCTTCGGAAGGGAGGGGTGGCCACGAGGCTCAGGGACACCCCTGGACCAGCCCCATGGAAGGGAGAGCATTCCTGGAGCTGGGGTTACCCCTGGCACCCCAAAAATCTCCAAGGGGGCAGTGGGGCTCTGGTTCAGCACCAGCACTGGCTGTCAGCTGTCGTGGAGGGGTGATGGTGACACCCAGCCCCTCACAAGTGGTATTTTCACAGTTTTTGATAAGTCAATAAAATTCTTATTATTTTTATTTCTGTGCAGCCCAGGGAGGATGCCCAGAGCTGGTGGTGGCAGGGGCTGGCATGGGACAGGGGGACAGAGTCCCACTGTGAGGTGACTGGGACACGGCCACTTTCTCTGTTCGGTATTTTGGGTGAAAAACGGGTTAAAGCTTCAGCCCACAGTAAATCACGGCCCTGGAGAAACCCAAGCCCACATTTATGTCCTCCCCCTGACCCACACTGGGCCAGACTGGGGAGGAACTGAGGCAGGAGCTTGACCCCGGGCTTGGGGATGTCCCTGTCACACTGCCACTGTGTCCCCACATCCTTTTCCCTTGCTGGCAGCACGGCAAAGTGGGGTACACGGGGTGGGGGCTGTGCCTTTCCCAGGGGTGCTGCAGCCAGTGGGGGCCCCCAGGGGGTCCTGGTCCTCAGCCAGACCCAGCAGGAGCGTGTTGGGAACCTCTGCTCCCATCCTGTCCCCAAAATCCATCCCCTGCTCTCCCACGTTCCGAGAAGGACAGTGCCCCGCCGCTGGCACGGCTTGCCCACGTCAGCCCCACACTCTTGCAGCTTCCTGCGGCTCTCCAGGCACTCTCCTTCCTGTCTCGGTCCCTCCTCCGAGTCATGGGACGCTGGTGACGCGCTCCCGCTGATGAAGAAATTGCTGCTGGCCCATGCGGTCACCGGCGCTATTTTTGTCCCTGTTGGGTATTGCACAGTCGTGGCCACCTGCTGCCATCCCCGGGTGGCACCACCGCGGTGTCCTGAGGGCAGGGGAGAGCTGAGGGTGGGGACTCTGATCACCCTCAGGGCAGGGCATGGATGGATGGATGAGAGTGGAACAGGAAGAAGGAGATGTGGATGATGGATGGATGGATGGATGATGGATGGATGGATGAGGGATGGATGGATGGATGATGGATGGATGGATGAGGGATGGATGGATGGATGATGGATGGATGGATGAGGGATGGATGGATGGATGATGGATGGATGGATGAGGGATGGATGGATGGATGATGGATGGATGGATGAGGGATGGATGGATGGATGATGGATGGATGGATGAGGGATGGATGGATGGATGATGGATGGATGGATGAGGGATGGATGGATGGATGATGGATGGATGGATGAGGGATGGATGGATGGATGATGGATGGATGGATGAGGGATGGATGGATGGATGATGGATGGATGGATGAGGGATGGATGGATGGATGATGGATGGATGGATGAGGGATGGATGGATGGATGATGGATGGATGGATGAGGGATGGATGGATGGATGATGGATGGATGGATGAGGGATGGATGGATGGATGATGGATGGATGGATGAGGGATGGATGGATGGATGATGGATGGATGGATGAGGGATGGATGGATGGATGATGGATGGATGGATGAGGGATGGATGGATGGATGATGGATGGATGGATGAGGGATGGATGGATGGATGATGGATGGATGGATGAGGGATGGATGGATGGATGATGGATGGATGGATGAGGGATGGATGGATGGATGATGGATGGGTGAATGGGTGAATGGATGGATGGGGTGGGTGACACAGGGGCAGTGGGGTGGAACAGCCTGTCTGGGCAACCTGAGGAGGGATGGACAAACTGCTGTGGAGCGAGCAAGATCTGGTTTCTCCACATCTCTAGGACTGCCCTGGGCACAGCCCTGCCCACCCCAGCCCCACAGAACCCACCCCAGCCCCACAGAGCCCACCCCAGCCGCCTCCTCTGCCGGGGACGCCCCGGGAAGGAGGAAGAGGAGGAGTCCTCAGAGGCGGCTGGGGAGGAAGCAGACCGTGCAAGTCGTGGCGCGGTCAGGGGCAGGGAAATTTTGGGAAAATAAAGCACTTGTAAAAGTGAGTCACCGCCGCATCCTTCCTCCTGGAAGGAGCTGTTAATTTCTAATCTGTCCTGCTGTGCCGAACTCTCCAAATGCGTAAATTCAGCGAGGGTCACCAAAATCAACGGGATTGCGACACACCCCGGAACGGAGACATCCATCTCTAAGGAATGGGAAACCCCCCGTGGTTTCCGGGCTCCTCCCGCCAGGAAGGGGAGTCCGGGGGGACAGCGGGGGTGCCCTGGCTGCTGCTGCCGGTGCCGAGGCTGTGCCAGCCCCAGGGCGGTGCCGGTGGGGCCGTGCCGAGGCCCAGGGCCCTCCCAGGGCAGCGCTGCCTCGGGCACCACCCGGTGCCCTCGGTGTCCCCGTGGGTGCTGCCGGGCACAGAGGCTAAGCCTGGTGTCCCCCACTTGGTTCAGCACCCAAATTTGTCACCCGGAGGGTGCGGGTGGGTGTGAGCAGGAGGACGGAGCATCCCTCAGAGCATCAGGCCGTGCTGGGATGCTCTGCACTTCCCGCACCTCCGTCTCCCTCCTTGCCAGGGTAGATTTTTGCCTTCCACAGCTGGATTTGGGACTCGAAACACCCCGTGGTGGCACATGGGTGACATCCTTGTCCCCGCTGCCAGCCGCCACTGCCCTCTTTTGCATTGGGGTTTCGGGGCAGCCGGCGCTGGTTTCAGTTCAACCTGTAGGCTGCTGAGCGGTGACATCAGCGTGAATCAAAAAGTTTCTTTCCCAAGAAGCCAGGACTGGGGGGTCCTGCCAGATCCGGGATGAGCCGTGGGACCGCAGCCTCGCAGGCTGGACCCACCCGGACTCCCTCGAGGAACTGACTCGAAGAACATCCCCATCATCCTGCCGGCCCCATTTCCTCCCGCCGCTGCTCTCACCCTGCTCATTGGGCCCCGGGCCATGCCTTCACTTCTCGCTGCCTTCCGTTGGGTCCGGGTGCCTCCTTCGGAGGTGGGGGTGACTCGGGTGCGCTTTAAAAGCCGAGCTTCCCCATCGCCGAGCACTTAAGGAAGTGGCTTGTGCGCCCGGCAGCCCCGGGCGGACACCCTGCCCCGGCCATGCGGTGCGACGGGCGGCCCTGGGGTGTGCTGGCAGGTACGTGTGTCCCCGTGTCCCCGTGTCCCCGTGTCCCCTCGCGCCGCCCCGGCCGCTCCGATGCCCCGGGAGCCGCGGAGGGAGCGCGGCCGCGGGGCCCCCATGGCGGCTGAGTCAGCGGAGCGGCGGCAGATGGCACCGAGGCTGTGCCACCGCAGTGTCGCCTCCCTCGGGGGCTGGCGGGGACAGGGACGTTCCCTGCTGTGGCACATGGGGAGCACTGGGGGTGGGCAGCCTGGGAGAGAGGGGACGCTGGGCAGGCAGGAGGGGACACTTTGGGGACCAGCAGCAGAAGGTCAGGGGTCAGCTTGCCCAAAGGGACAGAGGCTGTGTGTGAGCTCAGTGCCATACCCAAAGTCCTGAGGGTGACAGCGGGACTGGGACAGTGGCTGGCCAGAGCTGGACAGCGGGACTGGATCAGGAGCGTCGCTGCTGTCCCCTCTTTTGCGGTGGCCCGTGCTGGCAGGTGGAGCTGCTGGAGCAGCTGCTGTGGTGGTTCTGCACATCCTGGCTGCTCCAGAGCATCCCCAGCACCGTCATCCTCCTCCCCACCGGGTGCCCAGCAGCTTTTTGTCGCGGGGCTGGGTCATCCTTGGAGCGGGGACAGGGCTGGGGTGCAGGCAGCATTCCTGGCGCCGGGGTAGGGTTGTGAGAGAAGGCTCTCCCTGCACCCAGCCATGCCCCTGACTCCCTTCTCTTCCTCCCCAGCTGTCGCCAAAGGGCTCCTCATCCTCTGGGCAGTGCCGGGCCAGGGGGGCAGGTCCCCGCTGGCCCCCACCGTGCAGCAGACCCAGGCGCTGGTGAGGCTCATGGCCGAGGATGCGCTGGAGCTCTTCACTTTCTACGTGAGTTCCCTTCCCCGGGCCGAGGGGTCACGCCCGTCCCCTCCTCGGGGCAGTGGGGGGCGGTCCCCGTGCTGCTTCCACATCCCTGATCTTCCTCTCCAATGTCTGGGCAGGAGAAGGAGCAGCACCTGGCCATCCACAACATCTGCCGCACCAGCAACACCCCCGAGTGGCTGCAGAGGCCGGCCAAGGGGCCCTGGGGGCTGCGGAGGCTGCGGAGGCCCATGATCCACATGGACCAGGCGCTGCAGGACATCATCCGGCACCAGCGCAACCTCTACCACCCCGAGGCCGAAATCCTTCGCCGCTTGAGCAGGACCCACCGAAAGGTGCGAGCGCTCCTCAACAACCTGGCGGGGCTCTTCCCGGCCTCCAGCCCCCGGCCCGGCCGCCGACCCCTCCCCAGCCCCGCGGCGTCCCTCAGCATCTTCCGACAGAAGCTGCAGGGCTGCCAGATCCTCTGGAGCTACGCCCGCTTCATGGCCGAGCGCAGCGCTGAGCTGGAGGCCGGGAGCCGCAGGACGCGCCGGGAGAAGGGGAGATGGCGCTGGGGCTCGGGGCTGCCTGCACACCCCTAGGGCAGCCCCGCCGGCACTGGAGTTCCCTCTGCATCTCCATCATCTCCATCATCTCCATCATCTCCATCATCTCCATCATCTCCATCATCTCCATCATCTCCATCATCTCCATCCCATGTGACGCGATCCCAGCCCCATTCCCAGGATGGAGGTGCCAGGATGGCCGGGGAGCACCACGGAGCCCCCTCACGGCACCGACCCTGCGCTCCCCGTGCCAGCACTCGGCTGCAGGACAGCCCTGCTTGGCTCTCGCACATCCTGCCCCACTTTCATTGGATCCAGGTAGCCCCAGTGGAGCCGGGTGTCCCTCGGGTGCGCGGCTGTTCCCTGTCCCCGAGCCCTGCCGGATTTTCCAGTGATTCAATGGGTCGGGTGACACAGCCTGACTAAGAGCTGCTCGCCCAGCACCCCCACCGGGCCCACGGAGAGTGCTGCTGCCACCGGCGACTGTCACCGGTGTTGTCATCCCTGCCTGCCCTGCGCCAGCTCCGCTCCCAGAGAGCAGCTGGCGTGTCCTGTGTCCCTGCACAGTCTGTGTCCCTCTGTGCTCGGTGTCCCCAAGCTCAGTGTCCCTTTGCACATCCCTCTCCTCATCCCTGCTCGGTGTCTCTGTGCTCTCAGTGTCCCCCGGGAGGGCGCTGGCTGTTCCCATCCTCCCAGCATCCCTGTCCCCTCCGTGTCCCCCCTGAGCCTCCCAGGCCGTGCCACCACAGCCCAGCACTGTGACAGTGAGTGACAGCCCCCACTGCCTCCCCCCTAATTTATACATTAATATTTGTGTGTTTACTGTATTTATTGATTGTTAGGGTTAATTTAACTCCTGCAGCTTGCAGAAGTATTTAAGGACATTTCTAATATATAAATATCTATTTTTATTATATTTTTGTATGGTGTTAAACTATGAACATCACAAGAATTTATTTATGTATATTGGTATTTTTGGTACACATAGAAGGGCAGTGCCCTCACCCACATGGCATTTCTTTATTTTTGTACAATGGCAAAAGGAAATAAAATGCTGACTTTGGCCCATGGGCCACTGAGACGTCGTGTCCCTGTGTCCCTTTGTCCCTGTGTCTGTCCTGGTGGCTGTGGGCAGGGAGAAGCTGTATTCTGGTGGCCAGGTTGTGCCTGATGTCCTTTCCAGGACACACGGGATGTGGCACACGGTGTGACACATGGCATGGCACATGCTGGGATGTGGCTCATGGCATGGCACAGAACGTGGCACACGGCACAGGGTGGCACAGGGCATGTGACATGACAGGGCCTGGCACCACCAGGAGTGTGCCATGGCACGGCACGGGCCGCACGACACCTTGTGCCGCACGTCACAGCCATGCTGAGTGCAGCGTCCTGCAGTCTGGCCAGGGCCACCGTGGGGACCGGGCCACCCACTGCCACCAGTCCCTCTGAGTCAAAAATCCTAAGACCTGGTCATGTGTCCCCGTGGAGTCACTTGTTCCCCGCGGGTGCCGTGTGCGGTGCCGCCGGCACCGCCTGAGTCAGTCCCGGGAGCTTCGCCACCAGGACGGCCACCACAGCCATCTGGGGACACTCGTGGTGGGACAATGTCACCATGAAGCAGCCCGGGCCAGCTTGGGGTGCTGTGGGTAACCGTGACAGTGACCGTGACTGTGCCACCACCGAGCTGCCCACCCGGCTCTGGACAGGGCTGCAGAGGGGACGGTGCAGGTACGTGACCCCCCGGGACCGTGGGGAGGGCTGGGGGACCCCAAAGGTGGGGTGACACCAGCTGAGTGTCACTGAAGGGATGGTGGCTTCTTTGGTGTTCCCCAAGAGGACCCCAGTGCCCACTCGTGGGAAAAGCCTGTGGGTGACACCTGTGGGTGACACCTGTGGGTGACACCTGTGGGTGGCACCGGTGGGGCACAGGGACAGGGCTGAGGCAGGCCCAGCAGGGCCCCATCGTGAGTCAAAGGGGAATTCGGTGCCCTCCGTTATTCAGCTCTGGGTTTCCCGGGGACAGGAGCTCCCGCCTCGCTCAGCCCTTGCTCAGCCCCCCGGGAGGGCCCCCCGATCCCACCAGAGCCTCGTCCCCACGCCTGGGGGACAAACGGGGCTTTTGGTGACCCTGGAATCTGAGTGTCCCCCCTGCATGGGGACCTGGAGGGATGGGGACCTGGAGGGGAGCCAGAGGGGGAGAAGGATGGGGTGTGGGGGCAGTAATGGGGGGAGCTGGGGCAGTTCTGGAGGGGTTGGGGCAGTTCTGGAGGGGCTGGGGAAGTTCTGGAGGGGCTGGGGCGGTGGAAGGACAATGATGGAATGGGGAAGGGCAGGAAGGGACAGTTGCTGTCTGGGGAGAGGAGAGGTCTGGGGTGGGGAAGGGGCAGGAGACAGCTCCGAAACAGGGATGGGGTCAGTTCTGAGTTGGGATGGGGCAGCGGGGGCAATTTTGGGATGGGGAGAGGCCAATTCTGGGATGGGGCAGCAGGGGGCAGCACGGGGACAGGGATGGGGGAGCAGCAGGGGCAGGGATGCGGCAGAGAAGGATCCTGGGGACAGGGAAGGGGACAGGGACGGGGTGCAGTGTTTGCGGTGGAGCTGAGGACAGTTACGGGCAGGGATGCTCAGACGGGATCGCTCGGAGGGGCACAGAGCAGCAGCATGGCACTGGTGGCCTTGGAACACCCTGGGCTTGTCCTCGTGTCCCTGGGGAGGTCGGAGGTGGGGATGGGGACAGGGGGGACAGGGGGGACAGCAGGGACAGCTGTCCCCTGACCAACCTCCCCCAAACTCCACAGGTCCCCGACCCTCAGTCTCTTCTGACGGGGGGGCTGGCTCCCCCGGTCCCCGCTTCCCGCTCCCCCCTGGGACACGCTGGGACCCCCCAGCTCCTGTCATGGTCTTCTCACGCTCCCGCATCCCCGTTCTGGCTGCCCGTTCACAGGGCATCGGCAGGAATCCGTGCGGGAATGGGAAAGGGGATATTCCTGGGCATCATGTCCCATCCTGGTACCTCCCATCTCCCATTCTGCCATCTCCCTATCCCGCCTGTCTGGACCAGGAATTCGGGTTTTCCCAGCCGAGCATCCCCCCATTGCAGAGATCCGCGGGTTTGTCTTTCTTCCTAGACAAAACCCATCCTTTAATCCTGACACTTTTGCCTAAGGGCTGAGCTGCAGGTGGGGACACCGGTGCCACCTTGATGATCCCACCATGACCAGGGGTCCCACACCCCTCTGGGGACACCAAAGCCCAGCTCAGCTCCAGCCTGGACTCAGTTGCTCCTGGGAAATCCAGAAAAAGGGAAATCCATGTCAAGCCCTGCACACAAAGTCCCCCGGACGTTCACTACGCTAATAATTAAGTGCTATAAATTCCTCAGCTAATTATGCGCGTCAGGTCATCAGATGTCCATCAATATGTGATGTGCTGCTCCCCATATCCCAAAAAGACTGGGATGAGGCTGCAGGGTGGGAGATGGAGCTCGTCATCCCCGCCCTCCACAGTCCCCAGCTCATCCCTGATGTCCCACTAAGACCAGACTGGGCTAAACTGGGCATCAAACCAGGCTGGTCCTTGCGTGGGGAAACCGAGGCAAGCAGCAGCTACGGCCCAACCCCGCCAGCACAGGGGGGTCTTGGTGTCCCCCCTCGCCGTGTCCTCCTTGCCAAGGGAGGACAGCCGGGGTCGTGGTGGCTCTTGCGTCATCGTTCCTGGACTGTCACCGCCGGTTCACCTGCCGGGGCATAAACTTGCTAAACCTGATTAAAGTTTCAGTTCGACCCCGGTGAGAAAAAAAAAAATACAGAGAAGGACAAAAAAAAATCCATTTAACCTGTTTTTCACCCAAGTCGTGCAGCGAGCAACTCCGCAGTGTCCTGGTCCCATGGGATCCCTACGAGGTGCTGACCCAGCGCCCTCTGCCCGCTCCGGGCAGGGGACAGCTCCGCCGAGGGAAGGGTTAACCCTGGGGGGGCCGGTCCGGCCTCTCCCTCTGGGTGGGTTTGTCCTTTTTCCTGAAGAAAATCCACCCTTTACTGATAATACTTTTGCCCAAAGGGATGAGCCAGCGGCGGGCTGGGGGACACCGCTGCCATCCCACCGTGACCGAGGAGCGCGGCACCCCCACCACCGCTTCCCCGCGCCTTCCATCCCTCCAAAACCCCAAAAAAACCCCAAACCAGACTTTTTAACCTCCTTCATTTTATTGCCTGCTCCGACAGCCAGCGGGGAAGCCCCGGGCCGGGGAGGGGGACCCGGGGGTGAAAGTGCTTGCGGCTCCTGAGTCACAGCACAGCGCGTTCGCCACCGCGCCTCGACACCCCCGAACCCCACGTGCGCCTCCCTTGGGGGGGCTTCAATTCATCCTTCCCAGCCCACCCACTTCCCCGAGCCCGCGCGTGAAACAAAAGGCGACACAAAATTTCGTGTGACATCAACTTTTTTTCAGAAGTTTATTTCTAAGAATCATTCATTATTTCCAAACCCTCCGACTTCCTGATTTCCAGTTTCAATAGAAGTAACGATAGCGGGTGATTCTCCCCCCCCCCCCCCCCTCCTCCTCCCCTCTTCTTACAACACAGGCTGGCTGCCGGACCGGTATATAAACCCCGAGAAGTCCCCCAGTATGAACATGAATTTCTGAAAACTTCCTCTGCCAACACCAATCCCTATTAAGTTGCTCCCGGGACGCGGCTCACAATGAAGTTCGTGCCGGCAGGTAAAAAAAAAAAAAAAAATCTACTTTGGGGATACTATTTCCCCTTCTCCCCCTCCCCCTTTTTTCCTCCCCCTCGCCTCCTTTTGCCGGTGATGCTCGGGTGCAGGCGGGTCCCGCTTGGATGCCGCCGCTGGAGCCGGGACGAGGCTCCCGCCGCGCTGGGTCCCCCCCGGGATGAGCATCTCTGGGAATTGGCAGCGGGAGCGGAGCGCGGCGCTGGCGCGGTGCAGCCAACATCTGGACACTTATATAACTGGAAATGCTTCCAAGGGAAAAAAAAATATCTCAAGGAGGGGGGGATTTTTTTTTTCTT